CATATGCTGGGAAACAAGGCAAGCCTCTATAAATTTAAAAAAATTGAAATAATAACAAGCATCTTTTTCGATCATAATGTTATAAAGCTAGAAGTTAATTACAAGAAAAAAGCTGAGAAAGGGACAAAGATGTGGAGACTAAACAACATGCTATTGAACAAGTAATGGATCATTGAAGAAATTAAAGGAGAAATCAAAAAATATTCAGAGACAAATGAAAATGATAACATACCCTACCAACTCATATGAGAGCAGAAGCTGTATTAAGAGGGAAATTGATCACAATACAGGCACGCCTTAATAAACAAGAAACATCCCAAATAAGCAATCTCAAATTAGACCTAACTGAATTAGAAAAAGAAGAATAAACAAAGCCGAAAGTCAGCAGGAGAGAAATAGTAACAATCAGAGCAGAAATAAATGCCATTGAAACAAAAAAGCCAGTAGAAAGGATCAATGAAACAAAGAGCTGGTTCTTTGAGAAGATAAATAAAATTGACAAACTCCCAGCCAGACTTACAGAGAAAAAAAGAGAGAAAGCTCAAATAAAATCAGAAACGAAAGAGGAGAAATAACAATAGACTCCACAGAAATACAACAGATTATAAAAGAATACTATGAAAAACTATATGCCAAAAAAATCAATAACCTAGAGGAAATGGATAAATTCTTAGACTCTTACAATCTCCCAAAGCTAAGTCAAGAAGAAGCAGACAATCTGAACAGACCAATCACAAGGAAAGAGATTGAAACAGTAATCAAAAGCATCCCAAAGAACAGAACACCCCAGGACCAGATAGCTTTCCTGGGGAATTTTACCAAATCTTCAGTGAGAATTTAATACCTATCCTTCTCAAGCTATTCCAAAAAATTAGGGAGGATGGAACACTTCCTAACACATTCTACGAGGCCAACATCACTCTGATACCAAAGCCTGACAAGGACAGCACGAGAAACGAGAACTACAGGCCAATATCACTGATGAACATAGATGCAAAAATCCTCAACCAAATTTTGGCAACCTGAATTCAGCAATACATCAAAAGGACCATGCATCATGATCAAGTGGGATTCATACCAAGGACACAGGGATGGTTCGACATCTGCAAATCAATCAATATGATACACCACTTCAACAAATTGAGGAATAAAAACCACATGATCATCTCAACAGATACAGAGAAAAGTACTTGACAAGATCCAACAGCGACTTATGACACAAACTCTTACCAAAATGGGCGTAGAAGGAAATTACCGCAACATAATAAAGGCCATATATGACAAACCCACAGCTGACATCATACCCAATGGGTAAAAAGTGAGCACCATCCCCCTGAGAACAGGAACAAGACAAGGATGCCCAGTATCACCACTCTTATTCAACATAGTACTGGAGGTGTGGGCCAGAGCAATTAGGCAAGAGAAAGCAATAAAAGGAATCCAAGTAGGGAGTGAAGAAGTGAAACTCTTGCTGTTTGCAGACGACAGGATCTTATATATAGAAAACCCAAAAAAATCCATCGGAAAACTAATAGAAATAATTAACTACAGTAAAGTTGCAGGGTACAGAATAAACTTACAAAAGTCACTTGCAATCACTTGCTTTTCTATACTCCAATAACGAACTTACAGAAAGAGAACTCAAGAATACAATTCCATTTGCAATTGAAACTAAAAGAATAAAGCATCTAGGAATAAATTTAACCAAAGAGGTGAAGTACTTATACAATGAAAACTATAAGACATTACTGAAAGAAACTGATAATGACTTAAAAAGATGGAAAGAGATTCCTTGCTTATGGATTGGAAGAATAAACATAGTTCAAATGTCTATACTACCCAAAGCAATCTACAGATTCAATGCAATCCCTATCAGAATCCCAATGACATTCTTCACAGAAATAGAGCAAAGAATCCTAAAATTCATATGGGGCAACCAAAGACCCCAAATTGCTAAGGCAATCCTGAGAAAAAAGAACAAAGCTGGAGGTATCACAATCCCTGACTTCAAAATGTACTACAAAGCCATAGTGATCAAAACGGCGTGGTACTGGTACAAAAACAGGTACACAGATCAATGGAACAGAACTGAAAGCCCAGAAATAAAACTGCACATCTACAGACAGCTAATCTTCAACAAAGGTGCCAAGAACATGCAATGCAGAAAAGATAGTCTCTTCAATAAATGGTGTTGGGAAAACCAGACAGCCACATGCAAAAGAATGAAGGTAGACCACTACCTCACGCCATATACAAAAATAAACTCCAAGTGGATCAAAGACTTGAAGATATGTCCTGAAACTATAGAACTGCTGGAACATAGTATTGGTAGTACACTCTTGGACATCGAACTAAAAAGGATCTTTTCAAATTACCATGTCCTCTCAGACAAGGGAAACAAAAGAAGAGAAAATAAACAAGCGGGAACTGATCAGACTCAAGAGCTTCTGCAAGGCAAAAGAAACTAGGATCAAAACAAAGAGACAACCCACCAAATGGGAGAAAGTATTTGCAAATCATATATCTGACAAGGGATTAATCTCCATAATATATAAAGAACTCACACAACTGATCAATAAAAAAACAAACAACACAATCAAAAAGTGGGCAGAGGAGATGAACAGACATTTTTCCAAAGAAGATATACAGACGGCCCATAAACACGTGAAAAGATGTCCAACATCACTAATAATCAGGGAAATACAAATCAAAACTACATTAAGATACCACCTCATGCCTGTTAAAATGGCTATAATCACTAACACTAAAAATAACAAATGTTGGAGAGGTTATGGAGAAAAAGGAACCCTCATACACTGCTGGTGGGAATGCAAACGGGTGCAGCCACTATGGAAAACAGTATGGAGATTCCTCAAAAAAACAAAAATAGAACTAGCATATGACCCAGCTATCCTACTACTGGGTATCTACCCAAACAATCTGAAATCAACAATCCAAAGTAACATATGTATCCCTATGTTCATTGCAGCACTATTCACAATAGCCAAGACATGGAAGCAACCCAAGTGCCCACTGACCCATGATTGGATAAAGAAGATGTGGTATATATATACAATGGAATACTACTCAGCCAGAAAAAAAAGACAAATTCATCCCATTTGCAATAACATGGAATGGCCTGGAGGGAATTACGCTAAGCGAAATAAGCCAGTCTGAGAACGACAAACACCAGATGATTTCACTCATATGTGGAATATAAACAAATACATGGACAAAGAAAACAGTTCAGTGGTTACCAGGGGAAGGCGGGTGGGAGGTGGGCACGGGGGTAAAGGGGAGCACTTATGTGGTGACAGTCAAGAAATAATGTACAACTGAAATCTCACATTGATGTAAACTGTTATGAACTCAATAAAAAATAAATAAATAATGTTTGCAATTCATTTGAGAGTCAACCTGAGCTAAAATGACATGATAAATATTCAGACATTCATTGCAGATATATAGAATTTGTTTGATTATGGGATGCTGCCTCAAATGCTATTTGCGACATAACTTTTAAACGTCTGAAAATTTTTCAATCCCGTTATACATCTGTCTCTAAGAGTTGGGATAAGGGACTTTGTGGACTTGTATTAACATGGATGGGGCTAAATATAAAGTACATAGAGCATGTTACAAAATACCGTGTATTGTATGGTTCTATTATATGAGCACGTTATCAGTAATAATGTGAACATTCAAATACGGAAAAAAATTAAAAGCTTTTTTTAAATGGTAGCTGTTGTTAAGAGAACAGCATCAAAGGGGCTTTCACTTAAATGCTTTATATTTCTGAATTTTTCCATATTTTATCAGCACGTATGTACTACTTAAAAAGGTATGATTTTATAATTAAAAACAAAAGGACTCTTTAAAATACATACTAATTCGAATTTTTCTAAGGGAACAATATTGAGGTAAAACCAAGTATTAATTTTCCCTTCTGTTAACTACACAAACATGGGTAACCAATAGCATCTTGCATAACTATTTTTAATACATCCAAAATTATGTCCCTAATTTAATAAAGATGTTCTAAGTATATAATACGTGAACAATATTTTAAACATCAAAACTGAATAGAGAAAATGACAAAAACAGTAAACGGAAAATCTTTCCCTCTTCTTTTTATGCATTTTCAAACTCAAATATTCATGGATTTTTTCCCCCCCTAAATAATAATAATTGAATTTCATTGTGCCAGTTTCCTCTTTGGGCAAATGTAGACAATAAGAGATGATAATAACCTCTAGAGGGTTGTTGTGAGAATTAAATGGATAACAAATATTAGTCCTGCTTTCATGAGAGCCTGATACTTGCTAAATACTCAATAAATATTACATAATAAATATTTTATTATTAATATTGTTGTTATTGTTCCTTTTAGTCAAAAACCTGTTCCTGCCCACGATTACTTGGGGCTGTTTCACGGAAGAAGCTCTCAAATGCCAGCTGTGCTGTTTTCAGTGTGAGATGAGACAGCAGTGCCTTAAGTTAGTTTCAGTCTGTATGTCACCTTGGTAATGAGATTTCTAGGGGAAATTCCATATGGAAGTTTTTATTGCAAATAAAATTTTTAAACTTGAAAACAAATTTTTTATCGTTGTAAACGCCACTTAACACACTGTTCTGGATTCTGTGTCTATAAAATAACAAATTTCTTTTTAATAAAATACAAGTATGGCTTAAAGTGTCACAGAAATGTAAATCACATTGTCTGTAAATACTAATGGTTTGATTAAACTATAAAAATGAAAGTTTTATCTTTTTAGCAACATAGGTGTCTTAACCTCTCTAGCATGAATATATTTTCAATATGTAATCATACACAGAGGAAATAGTACAGTAAAGTCTTAAAATCATGACTTAAGAAGAAATAATTTAGCACAGTAGAGTTCATTCTAAAACATGACCTTGATTATAACTAGTATATAATTCTACCCTAATATAAAGAAGAATTTTAAGCTACATGATTATTTTTTATATCCATTACTTACCCTTTTTCATACGTGAATTCATCTTTCAGGGAATTAGCTGATGATTCGCCAATAAAGACAGATGGAATGTCAATTTTCTTTAGCACATCATCTGTATAAAACAATAATGAAATTATTCTCAAAAGCCCATACTTAATGTACAATCAACTTAACTTTCTTCCTAATAGCAGCAAACGCAGGTAGAAACAATTAGAATCAACTCGAATTGTCTATGGACTGATTTTCCCACTTGGAGATTTACACCATCATCAAAGTGGTTCAGAAGCATTATTACATTTAGAATAACAAAAGCTAACTGTTTGCATATAAATATTACCGTATTATCTCAATAATCGTATGAGATTAAGATGTAATTATTTTTAATATTTCCATTTGATTTTTTCCTCTGTGGACATAATTAACTATTAAAAAAGGAAGAAGAGGAAGAAATTTTAAGTTTTCTTTGTACACATAACTTAATTCCTAAGTGAAAAAGCTTTTTTTTACATACCCATTCCCAGGAGAAGTGTAAGCCAAAGAATGTAAGAAAAGACCACTTTACAACAGTCTGAAAAATAACACCACACATCTACGGCTGTGCAGAGTGAAGAGCTGACAGGAGTTGAGAAAGGGCTTAGGAGAGGAAAGCTGGGTAAATTTCTACTTCCTCCTAAGCCTGGAGTTCGTGGTAAAGCTTTGTGTTTTAATTGGTATCTTAAAAAATTTGACTCTCATACCTATATTACAAAACCAAACTCAAAGGCCAACAAAAAAGAACTTTGTAAAAATTACTCATTTCTCAGAAAGAGAAATAAAAACAACCCTCTTAATGTCACTAGAGAAACACCCAGTATGCTTTATCTTCCAGCTTTGGCACTTGCCGTTCCCTTTCCTTGGAACACTCCTCCTCCAGAAACCTACGTGGCTCAGCCTCTCACTTTACACCGAAGCCAAATGTCGAAATCTCACGGAGCCCTCTCTGACCGCCCCATCTAAAATAGCCACCCTCCTCTCATCCCTGTTACCCCTTTAGCTGAACATGTTTCTCTTCATAGCACTTATCACTACTTGACATTTGCATACCTCTTTGATTATGGGTTCATTTCCTCTCCCACTCTAGAATGCAATAATAATACCAGCAGCAATAACAATAATATCTAAATAACCATTAAATGATTACTAAGAACCAGCAGTCTTCTAGCTGCTGTATATGTCTTAATTCATTCAATCCTCACAACAACCCAATGAGTACTACTATTATCATCCCCATTTTGCAGATCAGAAAAGTGAGGCACAGAGATGGTGGGTACCATACCCAAGGTTACACAGCTGGTAAGTGGTAGAACTGGGATTCAAACCCTGGCAGGCAGTATCCAGAAACCACACTCTCAACTACTGCCTTCTGCTACCTCAATGAAAGGCAGGAGAGCAGAGCCTTAAACTCAGTCATTCCCTGCTCTAGGCATGGTGCCTCAAACAGTGCTTGATGCACAGGAGGCTGTCAAAAAATATTTGTTGAAGGAAAAAAGAAGAAGCAAACCTAGTTATATGGATAACTTGCCCTGGTTATACAGGTAGGAACTTGCACAGCTTAGACTCAAACTTAAGGCTCTGATTCCTAATCTAGGCTCTTCCCACTCCGCCGTGGCATGGGTTTTCTCACGCATCTGCTCTCATGTTCTTCACAACCACGTCAGGTCCAGTAAAAACTGAAGTTATTCACACTTTTACAGATGAAAATAAAGGCTCAGAAAGTTAGGTAACTTTCCCAAGGGCACAGGTTAGGTTCGTATACTAACCAGCCTGGAATAAACCCACACTTCCTGGGTCTGAAGTTGTGTTTTCCCCATCACATTCTGCTGCCTCCCGAAGATGACACATTATCGGCTCACTGACTTAACACCTCCCATGTCCTAGCTGAAATAAAGACGCACACATTGCTCGTGTAAAATGTCGGCAGCAAGGGCCTTTTAAAACTTCCGCTTGCTCCCAGATTTCAGAACCTCTGCTCTTAGGAGCACGTGTGCAGCACTTCTTGTGGCTGTGGACTAAGCTAAAAAGGGGGAGATATAAGCCTCTTTTAATCAATCCACGCTTTCTTTTTCTGTACCAAGTAACGGCAAAGATGAAAATGGTAAAGATCTTTACAACCTGTGTCTTTGGATATATGAAATGTTCACACACACACACACGCAAAGACAGAGCAAAATATCACAGGCAGTAATACAAGCAACACAGTCAAGAACTAAAATTCTGAGCACTCTTCGACATATGATAACTCAGTTGGAACATTTCCATGGCAACAGCAGGATTATACGGTTACGTGCTACTTTGACTATTTAGCACATTTTCCTTAGGAACTGACATGAGTATCACAAAAAGGTTTTATGGTTTTACAAAGGTTTTATAAAGACAAAACAGGTGCTAAAGGGAACGTACACTTCCAGCTTGCAAAATTTTTAGTGGGAACATGTCACAAGCGTAAACAGTTTACAAATACTAATCAATTTGTTCAACCCAAAACCCTCGAGCAGGTCTTGAGGGTTGCTAAACTCTGGGCTCAGGCCTTCAACAAAATGCAAAGGGTAAGTACCTTGCTCAAAGTTAACCAGCTAATACAAGTGGGAGTTTGGATATGAACTCAGGCCTGTCTGTTTCTAGACTGTCTATGCTTTCCATTTTGCCAATAATGAATATAGGTCACAAAAGTCACTGACCTGGAAGGTATCACGTGGGATGATATTTTTTTTAAGGGACATAGTTAAAGGAGAAGAAAAATGTCAACTTTGAAATACCAACAGTACTAGTTTATTTGGTAAGTAAAATCCCTTCATCAATTCCTCTAATTCCCAAGCAGCAGTTGTCAAACTTTCTGTGAAATGCTAGAACCTCTTAAGGAATACTTTATGCATTCTACAAGTATGATGATTTAATCAGCTAGAAGATTAAAATCATTTAAAATATAAAGAAATTAACTAAGGAACTTTTACTAAGTTGTAATTTTTATACATGGTAATTTTTCCTCAGATTATATGACAAGAAGGAAAAGAGTTCTACTCAACAACAACAAAAAACACTGTATTACGCAATAAAAAGATTTTTTTGGTCAAGGAATCCAAACTATTTCCTATTGAGAATGTAGTTATTTAAAGTCCTAAATACATCCTAATGTAGTATATCAGCCCATAGCTTGATGTCTGCTCTTTCTTCCAAGTTCTTTCTTGCATATATGAGTCAATGGAACCTAGTAGCAAGATGTATTATGGTTACGTATGTACTCAAAAAAAAAGGCACAAAAATAAAATACTTAATCATGGATGCTGGCACTGTATTTTAAGTTCTGGACCCAACTTTTAATGTGTGTGTGCAGAATCTCCCCCATACCATCAAACAACTCAATTCCCCTCAGTTCTGACACTATCTACCCAGAGACGGCATCAGATTCCACAGGTTAAGGGTTTAGTCTCACAAGACTGCCGCCTCACACTTCAGACACCAGATGCAACTCCAGGTTGTCACCTGTGCTTCTGACCAACAGGCTATAGATTGGGGGTTCCAACAACCCTCCTCCCTTTTGAGTTCAATTAATTTGCTAGAGTGGCTCCAGAACTCAGACAAACATTTTACTTACAAGATCACTGGTTATCATGAAAGGATGTAACTCAGGAACAGCCAGATGGAAGAGATGTACAGGAGGGCAAGGGATGTGGAAAGGGTGCAGAGCTTCCACACTCGCTGCAGGGTGCAATTCTACCAGCACCTCCACGTGTCCACCAACCAGGAAGCTCTCTGAACTCCTTCCTTTTGGGTTTTTATAGAGGCTTCATTACAAAAGAAGGACTGATTAAACCCTTGGCCACCAGTGGTGACTGATTAAACTTCCAGTCCTTCCCCCACCCGGGAGGTCAGGGGTATAGGACTGAAAATTCTAACTCTCTAATCACATGATTGATTCTCCTGGCAAGTGGCCCCCCATCCTTACTTGGGATCTAAAAGTCCCTTCATTAACGTAACAAAAGACACTTTTTAGCATTCTCACTAAATTAAGTGAACGCATACGGATTAAAAATCACTGTCTGATTAAAGCCAGTTATTTCATTAAAATTGGTTCATTTTCCCTATAAGCTAATATTTAGCAGAGAGTAAGGAAAGATATTCCCATTTTGAATGAAAAACAACAGGCATGCCAATGTATGTTAAGGGGCTAATAACCAAAAGGAGTAAAAAAGCACAAGAATGCAGCTTTGAAATTTCACAAGAATATAGTGGCTACTTAGTATATCCGCATATCCTAAAATTTACTGTCGTGAATCTCTAAATAAATCACAAAAATTCTTCAATGGCATCCTTTACTCAGCATGTTTATCTCTATTTAAAGCTTTGGTTTCCCTTTGGTTTTTACTAAAATATTAACACATCTTCTAAAAGGGGACACGTAGGTGAAACAAACAAACAAAAACCTCACTGTTCCAAAAAGAACAAGTCAATGCAACTCCTACTGTGAATAAAATTGTCCAGAGAGGGTTAAGAATTGGGAATTATCTTTCTGATAGAGAAGAAATTTTGCTTTTTAGAAAATGAGAGAAGAGAAATCCTGTTAAGTTTTAGTTTCAAAAGGTCTGTCAAACAGGAGAGAAGAAAAGTGATACCTGTACTTACTGTCGTTGGATCCCATGCTAATGAGGTCGTCAGAATCCACATTGTGCACTATGGCTGCTTTGTACCCTGCTCTCTGCGCGTTTAAAACCTGCAAGTCAGAAAACAGTCAAGATTTGAGGAAGAAAGTGCTTTGTCACAAAGTCCCTCAACTTTAACAAACATAAATCAAGTCTACACCATATATCTAAGGACCAGATTATGTGTATATATAAGAATAGATCTCAAGTGTGTTCTTGAAACATAATGGATGTTTTACAAGTGATTATCAAGGACTTCTTTAGATATCTTCTCGATTTCATTCATGGCATTAAGTGAAACAAGAAGCAAATAAAGGATAGGGAACCAACCTAAAATATTAAAAGGCCCAAAAGCATTAAACCTGTCTGGTTCTAAAGACGTAGAGACTTGCTGTGATCGGGCTCAAGAGTCATCAATCTACCTCCACTACTTATTAGTGGGATAAACTCGGGCAAATTATTTCTCTTCCTTAATCCTCAGTTTCTCCAACTTTAAAATGAGAATGACACAGTATTTTTCTCATATGTAAAAAATATTTTTTAATACTTAATAGCATGCCTAACACAAAGAAATGAGTCAAATAAAAGCTATTCTTATTATTAGCTTCATCATCAAACATGTTCTTTAAAATTCCTTTCTGAAGCTTTGAAAGAATTAAAAATACTTCCAGCCTGAGTTTCTTACTTTGGTTCCATCTAGCTATTTAATCTTTGCTAAAGCTAGTCTCCAAAATAGTAACCTTCGCACCATACGAATATGGCTAAACGTGTGGCAGAATTTTCTTACATGAAAGATCTGAAAAGTACCCAAACATGTTAACACACCTCACTCTAAAAATGCCAATCTGGGGGGGCCGGCCCAGTGGCCTAGTGGTTAAATTCAGCACACTCCGCTTTGGCAGCCCAGGTTAGGTTCCCGGGCCATGGATCTACACCACTCATCAGTGGCCACACTACAGTGGCAACCCACTTATAAAATAGAGGAAGACTGGCAACAGACGTTAGCTCAGGGTGAATCTACCTCAGCAAAAAAAACAAAAAACAAAAAACCCAACCTGTTTTAAATAAAAATAAACCCAGAAATAAGCTACAAATGAAGGATCAGATCATTATTACATATTATATATTGGTTAAACCAAAATGAAAAGGGTAAGAAAATATATCTATAATATTGTTTTGAATACTTGAAATACTTTAGAATACTTTCAAAACTATTTAATATATAGTTTATATATATATATATATATATAGTTTTGAATACTTAATATGGTAAGAAACTCTTGAAATACATCACCTTATGACCATCACACAGTGATAAGTCTCTCAAAGTGTTTCTTAATACTTATACTTCTAAAAAACAGGAAAATTAATCTCAAAAGAATTTTTAGAAGGTCTGACATTATTTCTGTTTTAGTTATCAGCATTATAATGATTCAAAACTCTACTGTAATTTAATAAAAATAAAATCTGAGTCAAGTTCCAAAGGATAAAGGAAAGCCCAAAGAGTCGAGGTCCCAAGAGGGAAAGGAAGGCTCGGGTATTCGACAGACTCTGATTTGAAGGCCAGGTAAGAGAAATGAGGTTCACATATTCAACCCCGGTCAGGCCAGTCTGCTTCGCACAGAGTAAAATTCTCTTCTACAGTACCCTTCACTTCTCTAAAACCACCCCACAATGCAAGCTGGGTTTCCAAAAGAGATGATAATGTAGATTAGTTAGAATAATTTTATCCTATCACTGAAAAAAACTGAATTTGTAGGAGATAAGAGTGCCTCAAGGAATTAATATTTTGTTCGTCTTTCCAGTTTCTATAGCATCTATGGAATAGCCTGACACAGAATAGGCACTCATCAAATATTACTTGAGTGAACAGATGTATAAAATATGTGCTTAAATTAATAATTCATGTTATAACGTTATAAACATGAGAGAGAAAATTAGGCAGAAACTTATTTTAAAACTGATTAAAATAGCATAAATAGTTCACTGAAATAGGACCTAATGCTCTAATGTTAGGAATAATGGCAAGAAAATCAACCAGCCAACAAAACTCTTACTGGGAATCTTTTGCAGTCATGCAAGGAAAGGTCAAGAAATAAGTTTACTATTTTGTGTCTACGTGTGCATGTTTTATTTTTAGGTGGATTTTGTTATCCAACTAAAATTGAGAAAATGCCAGCTCCCATAGTCTCTTCCCCATAGATATTACCACTTTCCAAGGGGAGAAAAGAACCTTTCAAGAAGGATATTATAGTTTCTAAGCCCTATTTCTTATTTATTACTTATATATTAATCTATCATTTATTCATTTTATTACCATAGCAGTACAGACTTCACTTAGCATTTATTTAAACAAAAGTATACTTGCTTGGGGTTGTTATTAGTTTATTTGATGCTTTAATGATCATTTTAACTGCTCCCAAAAGGCTAACCAAGTAACCGAGGAGAAATGTTTCTTTCACATCCAAAAAACGACTGTTTCCAGAGATACAATTTAAGAAATATAAATTCTCTATCAAAAGCTGTTCTCTGCTAATATAAAACAAGTTTCACCTTTCTTTTTTAAGCCAACTAATGTACATGCGCCATTGAAATTATATGATTTAACTTGTTTCCCTGCAAAATATATATTTGTGAGCAAAGATACAACATGTTAGGGCACAGAGAAGGTTGGTCTCAGGAACCATGATAAAGAGTAAAAAACGCAGTTCAGTTCAATAAGTATTTACTGAGTTTACATAATGAGTGAGGTACTGTGTGTTGTGCACTGAGCAGACTCAAAAGTAATCAGAAACAATCACTGTCCTCAAGGAGACCTCAGTACTCAGGGACATCCCCACAGATCAGCTGCTTTCCTGCCTCCCTATTTTGCTCATGCTAACATCTCTGCCTGGACCAGGTTTTGTCTTCTCAATGCCTATCAGGCCTTCAAATTCCATTATCTCCACGAAGCCGGCCCCGTTCCACATGCTGTCCCCAAACACCCACCTCACTGCTTCCTGCTAGAGTATTTCTATCAGTATTTTCACATTTTTCTTAAAGATCTTATATAGTGCTTACATTATGCTTATGCATACATGTACCAATTCCATTTTCAAAACAAGCCCTTATGGAGTCCTTAAGTCTCCTGCAGTTATCTACGAGTGAACTTTTCTGGTAAGAAGGGGACAAAGCAATTACCAATTTTACAAGAGGCTTTCTGACCCCTAAATTGTTAAGAACCACCAATATAAATGAATAGATTTACAACAATCTGCTATGTGTGTAACTACATCTAGCCATGAGATTCCTACACCAACACCGAGCAACTGAGGAGAAATGATTCTTTCACACATCCAAAATGCAACTGTTTCCATAAATACAATACAAAGTTGTATCAATATCAAAAGCTGCTCTCTGCTAACAAAATGATAAAATTCCTAAAATAGAAGACTTAGAAAACCACTAAAATAGGAAGGAATTCTGTGAGCACAAGTGTGAATTCCAAAAAATAGAAACACGTTTTAAAAAACTTAACAAGTAAGAAGGCTTGGCCAAGGTTTTTGTTGTTGTTTTTATTGATTTCTAAAATAAAGCAATGAGATTAAATCAAGAAACACTATAACATATGGACCAACGGGCTTATGAACACAAACAAGGAAAATATATTGTGTTTATAAAACTCATGTGTCAGTCAAATTAAATTACATTTTTAACTAGGCAGCAGCTGGTATTTTTAGGAACACATAAGGCAGAAATACAACCTAAATCATTTAGTAAGCATGTGCAAGGTTTCACATTCATAAAACGCAACCTCAAACACAAGGAGTCAGATGGCAGCAGAGAACTCAAAGATTCATGAAGGAAAAGCATGCACAGTGAACAAACCTAAACTCCAAAACAGACATCAAAACTAAAAACTGTATGAAAAAGCCTTCTGAATTATATTGCCAATCTGCCTCTTTATGGAGACTGATCTGAGCTATGAGTTCAAATTGTGGCAAATGCACTAAACATTTTACATCTAATCAACAAATTAACTGCAACTGAATTATGAGGACCAGGTGGCACCTAACCAAGAGTTTTAAAGAAACATGGGACTGCTGGGTTGTTATTATAAACAGCTAGTAAGTCAGAAGATAGCAGATTGCTAACAGAAGAGCCTTCAACAAGACAGGTTCTAAAAGGAACCATGGAAATGACACAATAGTTTATCTTATTTCCAGACTGGACAAATTGGTAGGTAATGCTGACACTAATAAAACAGGCCTTGTAAGAAGAAAGAACTGATTGTGCTGTAAGGATGATCATGAGCAGAGATCTTTTAAGGGACGTGTAGGCATGAGGAGATGGGGAAACTGTTGATAGAATATATATAACAAGGGTCCAGACCACAGGCTGTATGACCTCTCCGAGCTGATGCTTTACATATCTTATCCTTAATACCTAACACAACTCCACAATGTAGATATGCTTTCCTATATTTTAGAAATTAGAAATAAGAAAAGGTGGATAAACAAAATTGCCCTAAGATCACACTTAGGCAGAACTGAGATTTGAACACAAATTTATCTGATGAGATAGAGAAGCATGGGGTTTCCCAATGAATCAGGATGAGAACCAGGATTACTAACCTTATTTAACATTTTACAAATGTCTATGGAAAGGAACTGAACCAAGAAAGCATCAAGACTCAGACAACATTAATCTTAAATCTTGTGGTCAAAATAAAACCTATACACTAAACAGAGTATAAGCCAACAAGAAAAGTGCTAAAACATTGTGGTAGAGTTTACAGAAATTTAGAGGGGAAAAACCTGTGGGCTGAAATAGGTATGGCAGATTTTATGGGACCTGAATTACACCTAAATAAAAAGGAAATGTGGGTTAACAGTGGAAAGAGTTTGGGAAAATTTCTCATATGAAAGGAAGAGAGAAATAACAAGACAAAAAAGCAAGGCATATTAAGAACAAAACAAAAAACAGCAAGAGTGACCTCACTAAGTAAAGAAGAGCATTACTCAAAGGAAGAACAGCAGAGGAGTTAAAAGTATAGACTCTTGGAACAAGATAACCTGGATTCAAATTCTGA